CAGATTATTCATAGGATAACAAACCTAGCTAGAGCTGTAAAATCAGTACTGGATAAAAAACTTACTAAAACTGCGGATGATGGTGGTTAAAAACTAAATGATGGAAGGAGACGTTTTGGCGCAGCCGTTTGGACGCAGAACGGTGGTTACTGTCAACTTTCGGTGTTGCGGTCGCCGATTTGAATCTGTATAACTGGACGATTGTCATCTGCATCAGTTACATGATTTGACACCGCATCTTATGTATCAAAGGGAAGCCCTGCGCGACTGAATTGCAATGGCGTTGTCAAACTTTTGAATATCTGAATCCGATTCCATTGTTATGACTGCACGATGTCGTGAAGTCAGCAGCTACTTCTGCGTCGCGCGTTTGAATCTGTACCATTTGCGGTTGGTTATCTGCATGAATTACTTTACTTCCCCCTCACATTACCTATCAGTGGAAAGCTTTCTGTAACCATTCTGTCTGTTCATAGAGAAATATCTGTCGACATGCGCGTGATGAAAGAAGATAAAGAGAGGTCTGAGAGAGATATCTACGGAAAAAGAATCCAATTCAACTAAATGACATTTACTGACCTGATGCTGCCACCATTACGAAATCATAAAATAAAATGGAATCGTTGAAATTCAAAAGTTTGGACTCTAGCCTCATATTGTACCCAGTATTTTGTTGATGATAAATTGAGTTAAATCAAGTCTCTGGTGCTCGTAGCTATCATTCAGTTACATAGATTCTAACTCCCCTCGAAATGCCGCTCGCGCGTGCTAATCTAATGACCTGACGTAATTGATACAGTGGAACCATGAAACAAAATTGTAGGCATAAATTCATTACTGTTACAAAAGTTGCGTGCTGTACTCAGAGAAAACGTATAACTGATACGCAGCGAAAAGAAATGTGGCAAACGGAGAGGGAACAGCGTCTGAAAGTTCATTAGGGTCAAACTCTGGAATACATGAACCCGTGTTGATTTGAAGAGTTCCCGTAATCACCTGACGAAGGTTCAGACCTTGAAATGGATACTTGTGACAATAATTTCGTATTGTGCTCATAGACAGCCTTCGAGCGATGTATAATGTGAGAGATCAAATGAAGTAATTGATACAGATGACTACCTGCCATTTATATGAACCCAAACTTTGACTAAATGACTGCTCGCTGGATTAGTGACCTCGCGAGCCACACGATGTAATCATAAATTATAATCGAAATCGTTGAAATTCACAAGCTTGACAACGGTCATGCATTGCACTCGCATAGAGCGATGATATATTAAATCATATAGCTGAGGCAGATAAACACTGTACAGTTATGCAGATTCCAAGTGGCGACAGCAACTTCTGGTCTGCGCCCAAAAAGTGCCCGCCCAAATGTCATCTGCCAAATACATGAAGCTGTAGCCCGACGCGACTGTCTACTTTTGGTTGCTTTGGTTACGACGTACACTGGCGTAGTCATTTTTGCTGATCTATAAAAGAAGTCTGTAATCCAGAATAATTTATTTTAGGACGTGCATTTTTGCTGACTTTCAGGTCAGTAATATTGTTCGAAAAGTTTTAATTATTCGGACTGAGGGAAATTTCATTTAGCCTGCCGTATTTATAATACAATCACTTTTGTCTGATAATGGCCATCTACTGCATGTGAAGTTTCTGATTGGACTATCTTTGCTTCGGGAAAGCAGAAGTACTTTCAGCGCGGTTTCGACTATAACTAAGCCTTACCGCCGGTCAGTCCTTTTATTTTTGTCCCATACCCTGAAACCCAAAGAAAAAGGAAATGGAAGCATTTTGTTTTAGATACTTTTAACATGAATGCTAAAACATTATTTGTTGTAGCGTTTCTACTCTTTACTGGAGATTGTCGTTTTTGGCGGATCAAAGCTAGGTTGCATAAGGTAGTAAGCCGTTAATTGATTGAGCACCTAATGACAAGGGACGTCGACAATTCCGTGAAACTCAGTTTAATGGGCTGACGCGTTTTAACGTGTTCACAGTGAAGGAAATATTTTTATGATACAAATTTCCAGAATGAACGTTGGAGATGAGTAAGGTATTGCTTTAGCCAGTAAGATAGTTCAACATGTGTCTATTCATTGAAACTGCTTAAATACCTCGATTCCTTTTTTTCTCAGTGGTCTAATGAGCATACAAGAGCACCGGGGTGCCTTAGCATCATGAAAGTAGGGCTGACGGCGTTATGAACTTATTACCATAGCCTGACAGGCGAACCACAGTTTCAGTAGTTATCGAAGAGATGTAAGAAATACTGGCTTATGAAGCATCCTTAGTAACGAGCAAAACAGTTCTGCATCTTGCAGAATGATGCGAGATACGTCTACTTTTGTTGATGCAGTGCTGAAATAGATATTAGATGGATAGATATTTGCATGCTTAAGTGTAGTTTAGAAGCAAGTGCCGATAGCGTAATGCTGGGTGCAATCTTGTTTGATCAAATTATGCTTATGAAAGCAAGTAACAGAATAAATCATTAGAATTCTGTTAGTGATTAAGTGCGAGTGTAAAGCAAATAGCAAGGCTATGACTGTCTTACCATCGAATGCTCTCTGTGCAGGTTAAACAGAAAACTTATCGACAAAGGTAGGACAAAGTAGAAAAGACATGTGAAGTTGCTTTCAACTTGCTTTCCATATTCGGCCTAAAGCTGTGACCTTGCTCTTCAGAAGCCAAACGAAACTGTGGAGAAGGCCTAGGTCAAAAACAAAATCAAAAATGGTCATATTGATTCAGGGTAGCTGATGATTCTCTCCGTGTTTGCGTGTCACTGGCCATGGGACAGATTGCAGTGCGATTATTGCAATACAAGACTAGGCCTTTATAATGGCTGTTACCGTCTAC